TATATATATATATATATAGGGATAACATATGCTATATATGCACCGACTGCTGGGACTTTTAATAGAAGCAAATAATTAAACATTTCTGTTTGACATGAAGCTTTCGCTGAGATGCTCCTGTAAAGTAATTACTTGCGTTGATGAAAATAATTCTGCTAATGGATGCAAACAATCCATATCAACTCAAACTTACAGGTCCCGCTGATACACAATAAAACATAAGCTATTCCTAGACAACATTGTTCCACATGCCACGTGACCCACATGTAAAGAAAGCAAATCGAGAAAAAAATAAAGCATTGTCGCATCGTCTGTGCCTAGTCCTGAATGAGACCCCAGCTGTAGTGAGATGTATTCAAAATGTCTTGCATCTCAGCTATAAATAGTCTCAAAGACCCAGATTCCCAGCTCACTCAGCACACGTGAACGCGCACACACACTCACACACGGATAAAACAGAAATGCTTGTGCAGGCACATAAATATTTGAGAAACAGACAAATAAAAATCTAATAAATCAACCTCTATGTCACAATGATCTTAGAACACCAATCCCAGCTAAAAGAAAAGAAAAAAAGATTTTGGCAAATAAAAATTCAGACTTTAATTTTTTTTTTAATTTAAATAAAATTAAAGCAATACAAAATTACTGATATATAAAAACAAAGCAACTTTCATGATAAGAAACGTTATTAAAATGACAGTTAATCTTCACTTCATGCAATCTGGCACTGTAGTATCATACAGTAAAAATAGCATCTGTTCTCCCATAGAAATGAATGACTGATATACTCTGGCTTGATTAGAGAGAAAAAAAAACTGGCTCTTTGTTAGAAAAAAATATATTTATTTTTTGTATTTGCAATTAAACTGACATGGAATGCAATTTCTATTGGATAAGACAAAGGTTAGAGGTGTCACTGAAGGTTAATGGTGGCTCGGTGCGACAGATGAAAGTTAAATGAGATCACTGATCTCAGTCCAGTCTGGAGAGAGACATGCACTGGCACATACGATCTGATGACTGATCAGTACCAATACCATAGATTAACTTTTGATTTGATAAATCCCCTTGAATTGTCATCACTCTAGGTGCCGACTCACTGTTTGGAAAAGGCACTGATGACAATCAAGTGTATCAGATAATCAGGGGATGAAAAGACACCCAAGGGTGCAGTCTAGCACATTATTAATAAATTAAAATCATTTTAGACTCTAAATTAAAAATCAGTTTTTTAAAACAATATGCAAGATGATCTAAGTTAATCATAAAAGAGATTTAAATATGATCTAATATATAAAAAACAAAAACACACACATCAAAATAATGAGAACTAAAGCAAACAAAATGCATTAAACAGATACATGGACACACAATATGCTGAGCACATGAGGATATCATGTAGCAAAGTCATAAGAGTCAGCAGAATTGTTTATCACACAGTAAAACCACATGAAGAGTTTTACCTCTCCTGAGAAGTGGAAAATCAGCTCACACTCTTTTAAACAACATTAGGATGCATGGTTATATATAGACTACTTTTAAGGTTTATTCAAAACAGATGACATGGCAGTTTATTTAAATAGATCATACACAAACTTAAATAGCCACAGATGATTCACAAAAGATCCACGACCAGAACGCCAACACGCAGTCACACTAGCAGACAAAATCCCTCTCTAACCACAGTGTCCACTTTCATCTGTGTTCCACTTTCACTTGGTTGCACACCCACACTCGCCATTTGTGGCAAGCCGCATGAACATTTATTCCTTAATAATAATAATAATAACTAGTATCTATTTTTCATGTTACTAGTATCTGTTTATTTAATTAGCATAAAGTAATCCAACAGTGACTACTAACTTTTTAAGTTTCACAAGTTCACAAATTCATTGGATTCTATACTGTCACTAACAGTGACTTGTATGTATTCCAGATTTACTAGACTTTTTAGTTACTAGCACCTGCTTACAAGAAACTATTCCAATTGTTCTGGCTAAAATAACTTACCTCAACAGTCAGTTGCTTTTCACACGTCTTCCCTAATGACTAGCCCAAACAGCTACTTTAAAGTTCAATTAAAATTGCTAGTCACAACTGAAATATACTAGTGTCTAATAAATAGTACCAGTGCCTGGTATATATACTACTTAATGAGAAGGTAACTATAGCAAAGGATAGCTAGCGCCTAATGAATTACTAGAGACTAGAGGTCTGCACAGGCTTTAAACTGAAGCCCAAACCCGACCCGTACCCGAGATCGTCTGACCCAGCCCAGCTCGACCCAACCCGAGCGGCACAGTTAAATTTAGAGCCCGAACCCGACCCGACCCCGAAATCTTTTTTTTTTCTTTTTCCCACAACGAATAGCCAATTTTTTTTTTTAAATGCTGTATTTCACGATTGCATGCAACGGTCAGTAAACAAATACATGTAAAGAAACAGAATCATTAAGGCTTGGCCAGTTCACAAGGCAAAAGAAAAAACACTTACCAGTTATGAAAGTTTATGAACATCAGGTGCCTCGGTCACATAAATTCTGCCGAGTTTTTGAATGGTTGTATACGACAAGACGATAATTCTTCCATCATGCAAATTATGGTCATTTTCGTCAGTTAAGGCTCGTTAGTATTCGGCCTGCTTTAAATCAGACACAGACATGCAGTGCGGTAAGATCGCATTTATTTGAATTAATTAATTATATCATTTATTTGAATTAGCAAGAGAGAGAAAGAGAGAGAGAGAGAGAGGGATGAAAGTTGCATGTGTGAACCTGCGTCTGCGCGCCTCTCTCTACAAGCAACGTTCCTTCAAAAACTTGATTTTACCCCCTCACTGCAGAGAAATATAAAGTTGCGAGTCAGTAGCCTGTCGAAGCTATTTTACTAATAAAAGTTACCGTGCTGTGTTGTCGTGTGCTATAATGTGTGTGCGTGCGTCTATGAAAGCAGCGTAGCCTAGGCTACTGCATATAGTTTTAGTTTAGCTATAAACCCGAGCCCGACCCGAACCCGAAGCTATTCATTAAACATTAACCCGAACCCGACCCGAGTCCGACGGGTCCCGAAATACTTCGGGTAGCAGACTTCTACTAGAGACTAGCTTAACAGAAAAAGTGCAAGCATCTAATGAACAGTTACTAGTCAAATTGAAAAACATAATGGTCACTATCACTAACTAATAAAATAACAATGACTAATAAAAGGTACTAGCAATAGGATCTACGGAATACATGTTAAAACGGCTTGCCACAAACCGTGTTTCGCATATTCGCACTGGATTTCGCGGGTTCGAGAGGAACGTCTGCGCGCGTGCGCACGCTCGCTCACTCACCTGCTGTAAGTACATGAAAGTCAAGGCACAGGAGAGCTGCGGACACATGTCCACGTTCGGCAGGGCGACGCATGTTCCGCCCGTCAAGGGATGCTGCATCGTGTTTGCGTCCGCTCGTCCTGTCCTGTCCGCCGAGGTTCACGGGTTTTTAAAGATTGCTTTAGCAGGATCGGTTTCTGTAACGAAGCCTTGAAGCAGCCAACGGAGTGTGCGCATATACCGCTGAATACCGGCTACAAGCAAATGTGGATGTTTGAGCACGAGCGTCCCGGGGGTGAGAGAAAACACAGCGCGCGTCTGTTTTGTCCTTGATGATTTGAGTAAAGACCTTGTAAATATGCACGAAACTCTATTCAGTCCGTTTCTCGCGTTTGTAAATAAACACACTCACGGGCAAGAGATGCTAGAGTTGGTGACTGGACGTAGGGAAGTTGAAACGGGTCTGATTTCCCATTCGCTGTCAGAGGAGTCCGGGCGCACCGTCTGTTTCATTGAGCATCTGAATCTCCGAGGAAGAGATGCGGGGCGGGGGCCAATCCTAAATCACACATTCATTTTTAACGGGGGTGGGGTAATCTTTCCATTTTTTTCTCTTGCGTGAAACTGAATTGTCCTTATAATTTATTATTATGGACTCGGAGCCACATAAAGCGCGCGCACATAAATGAACTCAGCAAGTAAACAAACTGCCATCACAGTTCCATTAAAATCATTTCATATCATCCTGTAATGCTTTGTGCTGTAAGGAAGACCTGTCCAACCTAATACCTTTACTGAATTTATATCACTTAACACTATTTACCATTCCACTGTTCAAACTAAATAAAAGATTTGACTGTGGACAATCACTGGATGAAGCTTCTCTTATAGCACTTTGAGTAAAACCTTTTTGTTATTTTGTTTTCTAGTATAATATATAAACAATTTAACCCTTTCTATAGGGGGAAAGGCTATACATTAATATTTATTTGCACTTTGTGGTTCAGTTGGACACAATTTTCTTTACAATATTCTCTAAAAATAGACCAAACTTTTTTTTTTTTTTTTTTGTATTATCAGAATTATTATCACAAGCCCCTAACAGCTAAGATATCCATAAAGTTTACATTGAAATTTGTCATTCTGTAATGACACAAATCATGTAAATAAAAATTACATGTTAATGAGAGATTATAAAATGTGATTTGTTAAAGGGGTCATATGACGTTTCTAAAAAAAACATTATTTTGTGTATCTGGTGTAATGAAATGTGTTTATGCTGTTTAAGGTTAAAAAAACACATTATTTTCCACATAATGTACATTATTGTTTCTCCTCTATGCCCCGCCTTTCTGAAACACGTCGGTTTTTACAAAGCTCATCGATCTGAAAAGCGAGGCGTGCTCTGATTGGCCAGCTATCCAGTGCATTGTGATTGGCCGAATTCCTCAAGCGTGAGATGGAAATGTTATGCCCCTTACCACATTGTGATGCCGTGTCCCGGTGCGATGAGACAAAACCAATAAAAGCCATTATAAACGAGACATTTGTTGCATCCAGTGGGGACATAATTACTGATTATAATGACTTATATCGTCTTTTTACGAGTTGCGTTGCATCGCGTCGCGTAACCATAAAACCATGTCTGCATTTGTGATCGGAGAAACGACAAACAACAAGCGCTACTCTACACTGCTTAAAACCCGCGTTTGAATCATCAGTGGCAAATCCTTTAAATATGAATGCGTACTTACAGGCTGTGAGTCAGCATTATTTGTCAGAATTGTAGGCTAGCCTACTCTCCCTCGTCCTCCAAATCAAAGTTACACCTTCTTTCTTTGCGTGAACATTTGGGCGGTGTTATGCAAATCTTCCCACACAGTGACGTAGACATGTGGGGGCGTGTTTAAACGAGACATTTTAGGAGGGCGTGGTCGAGTCTTAACTTTTATAAAGAATATCTCTTTGAGTTTGAGACTTTAGTCTTTGCAACTTTAGGGATCTTATCTATTCACAAACCGTTTGTAATACAATGTAGTTGATCCAGAAGCCCTCTGAAGCTACTGCATCAAAATAAGCTTGTCTTTTGGAAGAGGGGGAGGGGGGATACATTCACTGCGTACATCCTGAAACAGTGCTGGTGAAAACTGTGTATTTTTGTGAAATGCAGTGATTTTTTTATTTATTTCAGTATATCAGTTTATTTATTTTATTTTTTATTTTTAAACTAATGATTTGACAAATGTGTTGAGAGTCCTTTTAAAATACAAAGAAATAAAATACAATGACTGGATGAGCCATATCAATAACTATTTGTGAAAAGGAAGCCTTACACACACACAAAAAAAGGGTTCAGCAAACTGAGACATCAACATATAAGGGCAACACAAGAGAGTAGCTGCTTATCTATATAAAATAACTTTTGTGTGCACACTAGGCCAAAATGTGAAGTACTAAATAATCAATTAAACCACACACAAATGTTTGAATTTATTGTTCATCAAGCTTCTTTTAAATGCACTCTGGCCTTATCTCCCTATCAGCAGCAAGGTTACACCTTCTTTCTTTGCGTGAACATTTGGGCGGTGTTATGCAAATCTTCCCACACAGTGACGTAGACATGTGGGGGCGTGTTTAAACGAGACATTTTAGGAGGGCGTGGTCGAGTCTTAACTTTTATAAAGAATATCTCTTTGAGTTTGAGACTTTAGTCTTTGCAACTTTAGGGATCTTATCTATTCACAAACCGTTTGTAACAGGCATGGGCCGGTATGAGATTTTGACGGTATGATAACCTTAAGCAAAAATATCACGGTTTCACGTTATCACGGTATTGTTGTTACAGCTCTAAAACGTGTTAATTTGAAATTAAAATTAAAAAAATAATTTAAAAAAACTGAATACAATATATTTTGAGCAACATACAGAATATTTGGAACAGTAGTATCTGTTTATTTTTTCTTTGATTTGTTTCTGAAATGTGGACTGTCTGCAGCTTTTGATGTGGATGGTTGATTTGCTGCTAGAGCTACTGCTGCCCTAAAAAGAAGAAAAATAAAGACTGACATCTTTATTTAACCTAAATCTGTAATTACAGTTTTTTAATTTTAGTTATATAATTCATATACATATCATTTATATAATTTCATATCATTTATTTATATAATTTCATATACATAATTTGATTTAATAATAACCCAGTTTGAACGAAACAAACAGCAGAAGCTCTGAATGGGACGCAGATTCACTCTCTGACAGCAGAAGACGCTGATAAAGCTTTTCGTTGGTTATCGCAGTAAACAAAGCAGAGCTGCACTGAAACACTGCTTTAATGTGAATTATACGAGATGAAAAGAAAATACCATCAAAACGTTTCTGAAGACAGTCTGTTCCCCTCAGAAACACATTCATATAAACCCCCAAATCAATATTTAGGATTTTCTTCCAATAGTTCGTGCATCATGAACAGTGAGTGATCTGCCTGCTACAGTATTTTTCTCTGTGCGTCCGTCTTCAGCATCTCTGGCCTGTGTTAACGGGCGTTTACAGACTTAATATTTTCACATAAATGACATTTGGAAAATGATATGCATTGCAACGCAGTTTGTGCAAGTCCAGAACAGAGATCGGCTGCTAGTGTTACTCTCTAACACTGCACTCAACTTGAGGGATTCCTACACTTTCAGTCTTTGAGGAGACATGAAAAACAGTGCATACCGCAGGAATGTTATAACGGAAAATATTAGCGGTTTTGAAACCATGACATTTTCAAATCGCGGTATACCTTGAAACCGGTAATCGGCCCATGCCTACTCCAAAGAGAAAGGAAAACTTGAAATCGCATCATATGACCCCTTTAAACCTGGGAAATGTGTATGTGGGAGAAACCTGTGCTCACCTAACAGTATAAAAACAGATGTATAAAAATATATCTGTACGAAAGCTTATTAGCATACAAAAACTATATGACAATTTCTGTAAAACATAATTAGATGTTTACATATGCACATTAAATTTACCATGGTAACCATAAGTTCTGTGAAAATGTGACATGTATGTAATTGTTATAAGGACTAGAACTGTGGTAATTTGCTATTAGACCACTGTTATCAAAAACATGTTTGATATGTAAAATACTGAACAGAAAAAAGAAAAGAAAAAAATTAACTGACATCAGTGCAGAATTGAAAGTGCACTCCTACTATCAACCATCTGAACCATTTGGTTCATGTTTTACAAAAAAGAAAAAAAAAGAAAGAAATTTGATATTTGGCTATTTTACAATGTAGTTGATCCAGAAGCCCTCTGAAGCTACTGCATCAAAAATAAGCTTGTCTTTTGGAAGAGGGGGAGGGGGGATACATTCACTGCGTACATCCTGAAACAGTGCTGGTGAAAACTGTATTTTTGTGAAATGCAGTGATTTTTTTTATTTATTTCAGTATATCAGTTTATTTATTTTATTTTTAATTTTTAAACTAATGATTTGACAAATGTGTTGAGAGTCCTTTTAAAATACAAAGAAATAAAATACAATGACTGGATGAGCCATATCAATAACTATTTGTGAAAAGGAAGCCTTACACACACACACAAAAAAAGGGTTCAGCAAACTGAGACATCAACATATAAGGGCAACACAAGAGAGTAGCTGCTTATCTGCATAAAATAACTTTTGTGTGCACACTAGGCCAAAATGTGAAGTACTAAATAATCAATTAAACCACACACAAATGTTTGAATTTATTGTTCATCAAGCTTCTTTTAAATGCACTCTGGCCTTATCTCCCTATCAGCAGCAAGGTCTTTATTGTAGATTAATTAACAGCTGTTAAATGTTATTATGTTGACTATAAGTTGGCTGCGGCCGACCAAGGTCTAAGCAGGAAGTGCAAAGATATACAGCAGGGGGAAAAAGAATTTGAATTATTCATGTTCTTTCTCTTTAATCTTTTTCTCTCTCTCTTTGTGCCAAGTTACAACCTAAGGTGACTCGCAAATCCATAACAAGATTTCATATCCTTGTTACTTTAAAAGAGCAGAGTCATAAAAATCAATGTTTTTCTATGTTGCACGAGGAGCCGTAATTAAAAAGGGCTTCTGAGGAGCCGGCAGACATGTATTATGGAGAGGGCAGCAGACTGCTTTGCTCCATTTTACTCTTTTTCTTCTCCACTCCACTCATAGCCTGAAGGCAAGACTATTTCTTCCCCCTCCCCATCCATAGACGTCTTCTCGGCCTTCCCTCATGCATTCCTCCATTTTTTTTTCTTGTCTTGATGCTACAGAGTACAAAATATTAACTGGACCGCCAAGCAGCGCATATATATTTCTTTTTAAATAAATAAAAGAGCATTCAGCATTTCATCACAGATAGTAGTGTTTATTTCGCTGCATGTCACTGTGCCTTTGACATGTGATGAGGCATGGCTGCCCTTTGCAGTGCGTCTGTTGTCTTAGCCTTTACTGAATAAATAAGCAGGGACTGCATATTGAGAGAGAAACCTTGTTTATCTCTTTGTTTGTCAGTGATGGCTCTCTCAGTCTAAAGAACACATGTAACACATATTGGTCTGTC